GCTGCCTCCCCCAGCCAACATCCCCCCCTCCCCACATCGCCCCTGGCCCCTGCTGCCTCCCCCGACCCAACAGCCAGGGCTTGATTTGTCCCCAGACTTCTTGGGGCTGAGTAAGTCTGTTGTGACTAGTGATACTTGTATGTTTGTTAATGCCACTTGTCACAGCAGACTTGCTAGCTAGCAATAAATAAATTACAATGATATGTATATGTGCATATGTATTTGTTTTTCCTAATGCTAATTAAGTATTTTAGGGAAAAGCACGAGAGCAGCAAGAGTTGGGGGCCACACTCTGAGGCCACCAAATAATTTGTCCTGAGAACCCCTTGCACTGTAGGTGTGAGGTGTGATTGCAGGTAGTGTAGACATACCCAAGCAAGCTTTAATCTAGCTAGCGCAAGTACCAATAGCAGTGAAGGCGCGGCAGCATGGACTTCAGCACGGACTAGCGGCCCAAGTAATACCCAGGATCGTGGGCAGATTTGTACAGCTTGTGCTGAAATACATCCTGCCACAACTTCACTGCCATTGGTACTCACCATTGCTAGATTAAAGCTAGCTCAGGGATAGCTACACATGCTGCAATCACATCGCTGGCTGCAGTGTACACATATTTGTAGCTCCTTTGCAAAACTGCTTTAGCTAGGCAGGCAGTGGGGCCACTGTATTGGGATTCAGGAGACCTGGTTCTATTCCCAGCTCTGCTGCTATGTGAACTTGGGCAAGTCATTTCATTCTGTGCCTCAGTTTACCTATCTGTAAAATGGGGATAATAATACTTTGCAAAGCGATTTGAGATCAACTATGAAAAGTGCTTTATAAAGAGCTAGGCATTATCATTAGATTGTTTCCCTTTTCCCTTAAGCTAAGTACAGGACACCAGTAGCACAGTAATGATCACACAATGCTCACAGCCTGAAAAGAGAACATAGAAATGTAGGGCTGGAAGGGATCTCAAGAGGTGACCAAGTCCAATCCCCCACACTGAATCAGTACCAAGTAAACCTAGACTATCCCTGAAAGGTATTTGTCCAGCCTGTTCTTAAAAACCTCCAATGATAGGGATTCCACCACCTCCCTTGGAAGCCTATTACAGGACTTAACTAGCCTTATAATTAGAAATATTTTCCTAATATCTACCCTCAATCACTGTTGCTGCAGAATAAGTCCATTAGGTCTTGTCCTACCTCCAGTGGACCTGGAAAATAATCAATTACCATCCTCTTTATTACATAGGGTGACCAGATGACAAAGGTGAAATATCGGGACTCGGGGGGAGGGAGGGATGGCAGAGCAAAAAAAAAGCCGCTGGAGGGCCCCCCCCCGCACCAGCTCGCCTTGTCTCCACCTCTCCCCGTAGGGGAACGTGCCCAGCTGATGCAATCCCACCCACTCAGACAGCAGCATTTCAGGCAGGCGGCAGCTCTGCCCTGCAGCACAGAGCACCCCGGGATTAGGAAGTGAGTGGCTGGGGCGTGCTCAGCCTGCGGCCGCTGTGACCCCACCAAGTTGCCCTGTGAGTGGGGCAAGTCTGTCCCCACATACAAGAACAGCCTGTAGTACCGACCTGCCCGCAGCCCGTCCCTGTGCTGCAGCCCCGGGGGGTTCGGGGCAGGGCACGGCACGCACAACAGCTGGGCAAAGGGGCTGGGGACATGGGAGCCCTCGAGGAACGGGGGCCGCCAGCCACCCCAGGGGAGGGGGCCGGTGGGCAGCATCTCTGTCCCTCAGGCGCGGGGTCTGGGCATGGCACTGGCGGCCCGGCCGGGCGCCCCACAGCCTCTCCCACCTTCACGCGGCTCGGGACGCTGGACAAAC